AAAAGAACTGAAACTATTTTTCCAACAACTTGTGCAATAGAGCTACTGAAAAAGTAATATTATGTTTATTAAAAATAGGTAAGAAATTTTGTAGCAGGTCGCATTCTATTCTCGCTTCTTCTGAGGACAAATTATTACGTCGTGTCGCATAATGTGAAACATCTTTAGAATACAGTGAATAAAGAATCCCATCTACAAATAAAATTTGCGAGTGACTCACTTCACTGGTAACATACTAAATGACCTAATTTCAAATATATCTCCATATTTTGCATCTCGAGCGAGGATAACGGTTCTTTTTGTCCACATGGATTACTTTAAATTACTTCTTGTACATTCTACACGAATTATGTGATACTGGCAGTGTACAGGAATCATTTGTACTTTATTATTACAAAATGTAGACATCTTGATACTAAAAAGTATAACAGGCACGCTGTCGCTTCTGAGGAATAGAATAGATTGCTGGCTCTCCATGTTTTTCAAATCGGATCAATATTACTGAGAATCTGGGTTCGCTGGACCGATGATGCTACAGCACTAGCAGTGTCTTAATAGTAAATAGTCTTTAATATGCTGCCATGCCAATGAAGTGACGAACGGTAAATGTGAAAAAATAAAACTCGATGGATGCAGGTAGCTTAGGACCATGCTTTTGGCTGGTGTAGTCCTTATGCAGCCTGTGGCAGACGTACATGCCAGTCTCAGTTAACGCTGTAGTTTCTTTATAGTGGTGGCTTCATTTGTTTTGGTCCACCATAACAAAGCACAGTACGTGATCATGGGCCGAATCGCATATTTTTGCATTGCTAGAAATTTATACTGGCTTTGTTGTTTTTTTTTTCTATGTGTTTATTCCTGTTAAGTCTACTATCCAACTGGTAAGACTTAAGTATTTTACCTCAGAAGATAGCTGGTGTTTTATGCTGAAAATAGTTGGGAGATGATAGCTATTCAGCATTCCTTTTTGTTTGAAAAAAGAGTTTTATTTAGATTAAAGGTTAAGTTATATTCCCTGCACAATCTCTCCACTATACGGAGAGCTGTTTGGTTCAAGTCACACACAGATCATCTTCATAACCTACTGTGTAGAAGTGATTGGCATTTAATTTGCTGATGAGCTCATTAATGGCCATATTCCACAACAGATGTGAAAGAACCCCACCCCCTGCGGGTAGTGTTTCTAGATTTGGATTGTTTGAGATTCACTTGCTGGTGAATCTCAATAAATCCAAATCAAGAAAGGTCTCTATTGTTCGTGTACTAAGCATGTTTACTATCCAGTCGATTAGTGCACTTTTTATGTTGGAGAAGTTTGTTCTGTCAAAAGCACCTTCTATATCTATGAAGGAACATAGACATATTACTTTGTTTTGGATGTCCCCTTCAATATTTTTGATTACCTGGTGAAATGCCGATTCAGCCGATTACCTAAGCTGTAGGCATGTTGTTTGTGGTGTAGCGGTAAGTTCATTGGCGCTGACTCCTTATATTGCCTTTCACACATCCTCTCCATCGTCTTTAGGAGAAAGGATGTGAATCTAATAGGTCAGCAGGTTTTAGGGTCTGTATAGTCGCTATTACCTGGTTTGGGTATGAATGTGACTTACACTTCCCTCCATCCCCTAGGAACATTAAGAGCCAGACATGCTCTGATTATGTCAATAAGTTTGACTATTAGGGCTTTACATACATATTCCCGGGACTGTAGGAGTGCCGGGGATACCGACAGGTCTGAAACTGAATGTCCCCATGGATTTTATCCATCGTTACCACTCTCTGTGCTAACTTCCAGTCTTCTGCTGTTTATGCCTTGAGTTACGCAACACGCTGGGTAGCAATTAGAATGCTTTGGGTTTCATCCGGCTATATTGAGTAACTTCCGCCGTGTTTCTTTATAGAGATGGACCCCGGCGTATTCTGTTTATCTAGGATTTTCCTTATCCAATCCGCTTGCTCACACAGGTTTCTATGTTACCACAGAATTATCGCCACACTGCTGAACGTCGACACCTGATACATTTTTTGTATTCAGTTTCAGATTCAGAGACAAACACGTTCTTTTATAGTGCCCTGAGCCCACTCGAAATGTATGCTTGTTCCACTGCTCTACTGCACGCTCCGTAAACCGCTACTACATCAAACGAGAGTATGCTGCACACACTGCGTGATGTCCACTTACTCAGGACATTAATTCAACGCAATGTATTCATTGTGATTCAATTCAAACGCTCTGACGGAGCTTTTCACTGAGATTTCAACTTAAGGCGTCGTTGCAGTACTTTTAAAATTTTTGAAATTTGTTAAATCTACCGAAATATAATTATTACTTAAAAACAAACTTTAGTTTTAGTTTTTAACATACAAACGACAGGCCTGTTGGTCTAGTGGTTAGTGACCCTGACTGCTGTGCCGGAGGTCGTGGGTTCGATTCCCACCCAGGACAAATGTTTGTGTGATGAGCACGATCATTTGTTCTGTGTCTGGGTGTAATTTATCTATAATATTTATGTATTTAGAAATATATAAGTATGTTTATCAGTTGTCTAGTACCCATAACACAAGCTCTGCTTAGCTTGGGAATAGATGGCGTTGTGTGATAGTTGTGGATTATTATTATTATTATTATTATTATTATTTTGTGGGGTATCTATATAGTTTTCTCATCTGGTTGGGTTCTATAAATATATAATTATAAATGAAAATTAAAAGATAAATATACATAAATATCAATAACATAAAATAAATATAAAAGTACATAAATAAGTAAAAGCCCAACCAGATGGAGGCCCTCGGCAGGGGAGACCAAACGGCCGAGGGTTAGGGGGAAAGGGAAAGAAACCGGCGGACGATGCGGGCGGTATCGAGGAGCACCGCCTTCTGCATTTGAACCTGGAGCGGTCCGCCACGTAGTCCCAGCCGCCTCAGATGACCCGAGAGGCTGACTGGGATTAGCCCGTTTGCAGAGACGACTACAGGAATAATTTCGGTCGGCAGACCACCCCACATGTCGGTCACCTCGTGAGCCAGGTCCAGATATTTTGTTTGCTTGTCTGTTTCGGCTTTCACGAGGTTCTCGTCATACGGAATGGTAATGTCGACCAAAAATATCCTTGACTGTGCCCGGTCCATCAGCACAATATCAGGCTTATTCGCAAGAATAGTCCTGTCTGTGATGATGGCCCGGTCCCAATAGAGCCTGGCGCGATCATTTTCGAGCACGGCTTCCGGCAAGTACTTGTAATACGGCAATTTCCGATCCACGAGACCGTATTTCAGAGCGAGCTCCTGGTGTAGAATTCTGGCTACTAGGTTGTGCCTGTGCAAGTACTCAGAGTTAGAAAGCGCCGAACAACCGGAGATAACATGCCTAAGTGACTCACCGGGATGGCGACAAGCTCGACAGATGTCGACGGTGCCATCCTTTAGGATGTATCTCCGATAGTTGTTGGTCTTAATAACCTGATCCTGTATTGCACAGACAAAACCCTCGGTTTCCCCCGAAGAGATCACCAAAGCGTAGCCAGTGGAGGGAGGCTACTGTGTCTACGAAAGGCTCATGTAGAGCCTTGTAGAACCTCCCGTGGAGCTCCTTCTCCTTCCATACGGTCTCCCGGTCGGAAATGCTCTGCACTGCCGGGTCTTGCCATTGCTCGTTGGCTAAGGATAGAGGGGTAAGTCCTTTATCACAAGAAATGACGTCCTTATAGAATGGATCATCCGATCTCGCAAGGAAGTAATCACGGAGGCTGCACACTTCGCGATTATGCATGGTGAGCGCGCTCAAGAAGCCACGACCACCATGCTTCCGCGGCAAGTACAGCCTCATTACCGACGATCTCGGATGATGCATCCTATGGGACGTCATAGTAGTGCGGACTTTTTTATCCAGGGCGTTAAGTTCAGTCTGAGTCCACCTGAGTATGCCAAAGGTATACATGTGGACAGGCATGACCCAACCGTTATATGCGTGTGCCTTATTCACACCGGACAAAAAGGCTGTTAAGCACTTTGGTCAAGCGTGCATAAAACACGTCGCAAACTGACTGTTTCATACCAGCCTCATCGATACCGATGTTCTGTGACATACCCAGGTATCGGTATGTTTCAGCCTCGGAAAGGGTTCTTAAGTTGACGGGCATAGATAAGTCTATGCCCTCAGAGTTAGCAACCCTTCCCCTCTCAACATGGAGGACCGCACACTTATCCGTCCCCAGCTCCATTCTAATAGAATTGCTAAATTCACACGTGATGTTTAGCAATTCCATAAGATGGGAGCGACTGGAGGCGAATAATTTGAGGTCATCCATATAGAAAAGGTGGGTCACTTTTGTACCTCCTTTCCGAAGCTGAAATCCCCTCCGGAGCCCTCCAGTAAAGTACTGAGAGGGTTCAAAGAGAGGCAGAACCAGATTGGACTCAGACAGTCGCCCTGGAATATACCCCTTCTTATCCTTATGCGGCTTTCCGCAGCCGTCATCCGCTCGCCTAGATGACAGAGTATCGTACTCCACTGCCCCATACACTGCTCGAGGAAGTCTCGAACTGTACAGTCTATCTTGTACAGCTCGAGGACCCTCTTTAGCCATGTATGGGGCACCGAGTCAAATGCCTTTCTGTAATCTATCCAGGCGGCGGAGAAGTTCCGACGGTTGCGTTTCACCACTTTGCCAATGACCGCGTCAATGAGGAGTGGTTCCTTGGTTCCACGACCGCCGCCCCGACATCCATTTTGAGCGCGCGACATCACCTGATTTAAGTCCAGGTGACGAGCGATTCTTGCGCTCAAAATGGATGTTAGTGTCTTGTATATGGTCGGTAGACACGTGATGGGGCGGTATTTGCTCGGGTCTGTGGCACCCTGATCTTTAGGAACCAAATGAGTGATCCCAGTAGTGAAGAGGCTTGGGAGCGACTTCTGGTTGAGAGCCTCTTGAAACTGTCGGGCGAGTACAGAGTGACACACCATGAACCCCTTCAGCCAGTAGTGATGCAGCCCGTCAAGCCCCGGACTTTTTCCAGTTCGGGGCCCTACGGACCGCCTCAGCTACGTCATCCGGCGTTATGATGACAGGGTCCATGGGCGTAATACTCGCACACTGACTCGCCACAACTTCTGTCCAAGGGCCCTCGTTGTGGTTTACGGGCTCTGACCACAGGCTGCGCCAGAATGCGACCATGTCGGCCTGATTTGGTGCAGGGCCCGTTCCACTTACTATTGGTCGCTCCAATGATTTATAGAGCCTCTTCTGATCACTCTGGAAGAGACGATTCTGGTTGAACCGTGTCGACCTCTCGGTATATCGCCGAATCCGCTTTCCCCAAGCAGCTATTCTTTGCTTCAGGTCGTCTATGCGCTCCGTCAGTTTTTGCATTATATCCGGCTGGGACAAACTAACATTTGTCCCAGCAAACGCCATCCTGACGGTGCGCACAATCCTTGGCCTGGTATTGCCTGACCTGAAGCATATCAGTCTGCCGATGAGGGCCCTAGCCTTTGCGATACGTTCTTCAATTCTTATTCTCCAGGCTGGGATAGCACTACTTTGTCCAGTAGCGCGTCCAGCCGTGGAAAGTTTGGCACCTATAATACGGCAGACTGCCAGTGCGGCGCCAAAAAGAATTGAGTCCGTATCGCAAAGGTCCCGGCTGGCATCCAAATAGGTAACCAGCATTGGGTTCAGAGCCCTCACGACAGCCCGATTCCGCTTGCTTAGGGCTAAGCGGGGAAGTCGCGGTCGATTTTCGAGAGTCGTACTGCGCGTTTCCACAATCGCCTCTTCCAATGTACTCCTCATTTGCTCTAGTTCCAGTTCCTGGACGACTGTTCCATCATCGTTTGAATCAACCACAACTGGCGTATTCACGGCGGCATCCACATTTGCCGTTTGCTCAGCAAGTTGTGGCGCCGCATCCTCAGCCGCAGCATTTTCACCCGATGAAGGAACAGCCTCACGTCGTAGCCGTTCGAGTTCGGTGACATCAAATGTATTTGAGCGCAAGATATACCGAACTCGGTCTGCCAGGTTTTGCTCGGTGACGGTTACAGATGGCTCCAGCTCAGCAAAAAGTCGATGCATCCTTGCCCGATACGCAAAACCTCCAGTTTCTCCCCCTTTCGCCCTAAAATACGCCCGCAATGCGTTGCTGTTCATCTGGGTTGTCCAACGCATGCGGCGTACTCCACCAGTGGCGGGTGCCGATTGCTGAGCCCGCGAAGACCCTGCCGACACCAAGCCAGCTGGTGGGGATGATGATTATTATTATTATTATTATAAACGCTATATGAGAGTCTACTCTTTTTTAAAAGGCCGGCAACGCTTCTGCGATTCCCTGGTGTTGCGGTTGTTTATGAGCGGCGGTAGTCACCAGGTAGGCTAAAGTTTGCTCTTTTGCCCCTCCTATGTAAAAAAGGAAAGCAGAATCGTAAATCACAATAAATAATAATTAGCTCGATGAAAAAAACATTAAGGTCACGACTAAATTGTTTAACCATTTAAACGTGTCCCTTGTAAAGATTCTATAATAAAATCCGTATATATGTTTTTTCAAAAATACGGCTTATTATTTTTAGATAATATTGTGAACATATTTTATAAATTAATTTTTATGTTTATCTTATCAATAAATAATTTAATGGAACAGATCAAACCAATAATCATCATCCTTGATGATTTTTATCTTTTATTTATTGAAAAGCAAGCCATTTCGTTATTAATTTTAGCATTTTTTACAACTCACTTCAGTGTATTTTGTTTGGTTCCGTAGGACGAACTTTAATTATTTTTTTTATTATTCTTTTCAGTTACCTCAATGATACAAGTTTCAACTCACGTTTGAAGTGCATGATGCCGAAGCATAACTGAAGTGTGCAAAAGACTTTCAACATATAAACGCAGATTTGGCGTCATTTTTTTCATATCTCATGTGCTCCACGGCTATATTAATATTGATGCATTTATTAATTTATCTGAAAATAAATCGTCCAATAAACAATAAAACATTAGAATTTTGGGACTATATGTCCCAAAATTCTTTTACGTTAAGAATTTATTTCCCCGAGCACCCGGTGTTCGATAACGCGAATAAGTTCTCGAAGCGGAGAGTGATCGATAACCGCTTTGACTTGTTCAAAGTGATAGATGGCTCGCTTGAGGTTGGGAAAAAAAATTTTACTCTAAATTTTCTAGAATTAACTACTAGTAAGTATTTAAGGAATTTCTTACTAACATTCTTTTCAAAGTCGATATTCGAAATGATTGGATTCGAAAGCCTGCACGATCATTTATGGAGAAATACACACCATCAATTTTCATCTCTGGGCTTCATTTTGTGATTTTACATAATCTCATTATGGTTACATCGAGAGGGAAGGTTTTTTTACTATTACAAAACAGTGCTCGACTACTATTCCAGCTGATGGTAAGTGATGATGCAGTTATGGATGGTAAAGCACACTAACTTAACGAAAACCCATTCCCTTTTGCATCGAAGATGTTATAATTGGATAAAATACAGTAGAAGTATGTGTGCTTTATTATATTAAACTTGCGGTTACATTGGTTTGTGGCTTTTCGATAATAGTAGAAGCAGTATAAAGTCGAGCGGCTGATAGAATATCAAAAAAGCGGTCAATTACAAAACCTTACTTTATAAAGTTACGTAAGTATCACAAGTATGATCAGTTAACTATATTTTCTAAAACCAAAATATAATAAGTGGATGTTTTAGTATGTTTTCTTTAATAACAGTGTATGGTAAATACAGTGAATAACCTCAGTGATAGAAAATAACTTGTTCTTTTGATAGGACCCAAAATTTGTCTAAAATAAAAAACCATGACAGCTACTTCTCACAAGTATTTTATTTAATAAATTAAATTGCTGTCTGATGGTAGCCAAAGTAAATCAATTACCCCACATAATTCAAAAAGATCTCATGACTGACTGACATGGTCGAGGTGCGATACGTCTGGTACTTACGATTGCCGCTCGTGGAGATAACAATAAATCATACTTACGGTTAACTACTTTACTTACTACTAGGGCTCAAGTGCTTGGTAGCATTCCTTAAAGGAGGTCTATGTTCAGCAGTGGGCTTGTGATGAGCTACAATGGTGATGCTGCTAATAAAGTTGATACAATTGGAAACTGATAATGAAGAAGAACAAGAAAAGAAACGGAAATAGTTTTTACTTGTGCCTTTGAAACTTTGAGCAAACCACATCAACCTCATATCACAATAGAATGAAAAATGCATGGCGTATTCAAGCAATGAACTGTTAAGCTTATGTTCTTCATCTTCAACAGCCTGTAAAATTTTGTAGAGAGGATTTTTCTTTATCGCTAGTGGTCTAGTATGGTGTTGCTACAGCAGCTTTAATGCCTTTCACCTAATATTTTACATAATGCTTAACCACCATTTACCAAGTATTGGCGGTGTAAGAATATCCACTACCCCGTATCATCCCGTGCGTGTCGTAAGAGACGACAGAGGAAAATAAATCTGGAGATGGACAGCAGCGTCTTCGTAATGATGACTAAAAATAAAAACTGCAGTAGCCAGCTAGTAGCCAGTAGCCAGTAGCTAGTCAAGCGTGGCAACTATGACAAAATATGCTCCCTATGAGGAAATATATGGGGGAGGACTATGTTCAGCAGTGGAATTCAATAGGCTGTAACGGTGAACGGTTAACGGTTATACCATCATCTATCGGAAACCATGACTGGCATTTCCCTTGGATGTCTCTTTCTATAAAAACTTCGATGATGTATTCTTTTACACCGCCACCACATGGTGAGATAACAAAGATATTAAAATATGTCCTCCTTTTCGGTCATGATGGTCAGTCTCAACGGATTCTTTCCGTCGGATGGGATTACAGTGCGTTAACGTTTAGTATATACGAAAGCACACGTAGACTCTCTATTCCCTCCATCTGCGTAGGTTTCTTCAAAACAAGTCTCGGGCCTCGTGGCATTCCCCTTTACCCGGGTTTTCCTCGCAGTAAAATACAGTGGGCCGGTCTTGGGAGCCGTTACAAAAACGGCGTTGTTGGCCATCTTGGCGTTCATGTCGTATTTCACGCCCCTGGGAAGGATCTACCTAAGGGTCGATGACCTTAAACCTTACGGAAATGGATCTCGAAGTAAGGTCGAGTATGTCTTACCGACAAGTGGGCGCACTTCAACAGTGGCACACCGGGCCATAAGAGCTTGCTTCCTAGTGTTTCGTTCCTGCCCCTGGGCAGGGGTCTACCTTAGGATCGGTGACCTCAAGCCTTACGGAGACGGATCTTGAAGTATCTGTGCAACGCGCCGTACCCCCAGGCGATCAACTTAAATTCTAAGAAACATCTGAGTTCCATTCCCTCACTCTCATAGTCCAATTGCACGGCAAATCGACTCGACCGTAGAGAGATCAAGCGCACGATCAACGACTTTACGTGCTTTTCGAAACACGGAGATGAAACTTCAATTTCCTGTCTCCGAGCTCCTATTGAGAATTTGATAGAAAAACTCAATGAATGTTTTTTTTACCCGCACCTGTGATTCAATGATCAACAGTCGCGTCTACGACCACTAGACTCACGAGGTAGTCGAATATAATAAATATTCAAAACCATGTGTTTTAAGAAACAAGTGTCATGTAATGCGGACCGTTTTATTTATAATATGTTATTTACTCCATTTTGTTTCTCGTTTGTAGCGGATTCTGCGAATTACAAAATGACAGTACTACAGATTGAGAGGGAAATACGTTACATTTCCGATCAACATCGGCAATACGAAGATATTTTACGACAGAGTGGTATATAGACGTAATGCAAAATTTGTATGTTTTATAGCGTTTTCTGTCTGCTATCGCTAGCGGCCGACGTTTTTATAGGTGACTGATTTCCTAAGCGAGAGCCCTTTGTTATTTACATTTAGAGCTAAGTGTGAGTGTGCTAATCTGAAACGTATTTAAAATTATCCATTTCCTACCTTTTACAAAACCAGAACCTTTTACAGAACCACGACGTATTATTCTAATTCTGCTGTATGCATTAAGAAAGGCAAATTCTTATTTAGCCTATAAACCGTCAATTATTATTCATGAGCCTCTCAAATTCTATTTGTGTTTATCCTATTTTCCTGACCTGAGTAGTGGATCTAGTCTATGGTTCCGCTGCCAATTAAGTTTCGGCCGTGGAGGTTTGGGAAAGCGGCGCATCGCAATACCGACATACCTTTTCCCTCACGGCCTCACCACAACAACATCAGCGTTGCGACTCCGTCAGAGTCACGGAAACATTTCTTTACCATAGCGGATATTTCTTGGCTGCGATGGTAAGGGAAAGGATAGTCATTTTGCCGCAGCCCACCAACACACGTGAATGGTTCGCCAACCTCACTCGGAGTAGCCTACTCAGGTGGGCCCTTCACCTCGGGCCCGCGATGTGGGTTCTTTATTCACCATGGTGGTTACCCATGGCTACTAATTTCGATTTTTAGTTTCCCAAAGTCACCTTCATCAACATCTATGGGACAAAATGAGGTGCAAGTATTGCTTACGCTATATACACACTGCGGGCACTCGTTCGCTTAAATCCACTCACGTTACTTCTAGCTGCGACTTTATAACTAAACATTTCAGTACTGAGTAGTATTACCTATTCTTTTTACTTGTTTAAACAGTTCATTTGTTTCACTCGGAGTGTGAAAGCGGCTGTTAATGTGGCAGGAAAAGTTCCGAAATGAAATCTGCAATTTGATCCGGTTATTCCAAGATGGAGATCGGAAGTCGTGTGCCGGTACATTATCGATCTCTTATACAATGTTTAGTTCATTTGTAAGAACATATCGAATTACTGTTTGAGGAAATTGTAATGTTACCTGGAAAATTATCTTTAATTATATATTAGTTATTATTTGATATAATTTGACATTTATTTAGCAAAAAAATATGTACTGTTGGAGGCTTGGTTCATTATCTTTTTAACTTGGCTGCCGAATAAAATAAATTTTAAGGGTTTTATAGCGTTTAATTTAGTTTATTTTTACTTATTTTAATTCATGACGTAGAACTTATGATTACT